TTATAAAAAAAAGAGACAAACTCGACGGAGCTACCCTCTCTGCCCCGAAATTCAGCTGCTGGTGCCTCTTCTCTTTCCCTCTTTTTTCTCTCCGCCATAGTAGCTGTTGATTATATGTTTCCTGTGTTGCGCTTTTATTGATTAACTCATCCAGCAACATAAATTAGTGATTTACACCAATATGTGATGCGGCTGCTGCGCAATCAGCCCTGGTTGTGGAGTAAATGAACACTCTTACCTAAACTTGTGGGACTTGTGTAGGCCCAACGTGTTTTTTTTTCTCTCTTCTGTTAAAAGCTGTTAAATTATTAAGCAGTGTCTCATGTAGGTTTTTTTCCCCTTGTATTTTATGTGGTGGCCACTAGCTGCTCTGGGCATATATTTTTCTTTCTTGTTTTTATTCCCTGACGTATGTTGCAAAGAGAAAGTAAAAGTTTATTTTATAAAGAACACCGCTTTCTCACATAACGCAGTGAAGCAGCCCGTGCATAGAATGAATAATCGATCCTTGAGGCATTGATATCAACCAATTCAGCACCACCACCATCGGCACCTGGTAACGTCGCACATAAGGAGGTATATCTTAAGCAGCCTCCTAAGGTGTAGCTCGGGGAACACGCCTAGAACAGGTATACCTTTAGTTAAGACATACCTTTAGAGTCTTCGTAGCACGCTAAGAGATAACGTTATCGGGAAACACAGCCCTGGTCTCTTCTGTGGCTCAGGCTTACGGGGCCCTCTAGTGAGTGCTCCTGAGTTGGGCTTGTAGAGCAAGAAACAAAAAAAAATTATAACCACTTTGCCATTAAAAACAAAACTGAACTATTTTACTGGCTGCAACAGCAGCTGTGTATAATGGGGAAGAGAGAAAAGACACGGGCTCCAGTCGGATTTAGGTAGAGAATTCTGATAAGCTGTCAGGCAAGGGCCAGGCTAGGACCTAGATTGGAGGCCCGTGCAGGGCTCTAAATTATTCATTTGTGTTACAACGTGGGTAAAACATATTATCCTTATTAATTTTGTTAGGCTAATAAAAGGTAAAAGTTTAATATAGGCTGAGTGAATATATGTCATTGTAGCTACTATTTTATTAAGTTTTTTTCTTGTTAATAATAGCCCAATGAGCCACAAACTAAGCATTCATTTGAATTAAGGGGAAAATCCCCGAAACTTTTTTTTTATTTGTGTTACAACCTTAAGCATTAATTTTGTTACAAGAATAAGAAAGCATTAAACATCAAAATAATCGCTATAGTTCTGAGAATGCGGGATTGCTTGCTACTGAAGACGCTGTCGCTCTTTCTCTGCTGTCTCTTTGCAATGGTTGTAGAAATTGTCGTTAATCTTAATGTGGGTACAGCACAGATGTTACAGGTAATAATATGATCAAAAAGTCATGGCAACAAATAATTTTTTTATGTCAGTTTAATAAGTTGAAACGACTTTCACAGTCAATTTGATTCAACTTAACTCAACTTAACTCTTGCTTATAATGTTACTTTTGCTACTTTTTTTAATTAATTTTAAAGAATATACGAATTAATAAAATGAATTTTATTTATTTTTTGTTGCAAAATTTTCATTTACTTATTTTCAACACCAGCCCCCCCAGCCCCCCCATTTTTTCTCGGGCTACAGGATAGGGGGTGCTGCAGCACCATCAGCACCCCTACTTCGTGCAGTAATGTAAGCGTTGCATAACTGGCCGTGCTATAAGCTGCACGCGAATCGATGACTGTCGCTTCAGTCGAATGCTTCTGATGATATGGCGCTCTGAGCTTGCTTATATAGCCACAGCAATGCAAGGCATGTTCCCTTATCTCAGGGAACCGAGGTTACGTTAGTAACACTAGCTTGCTCTATTCTTTTTCTATTCTATCTGTTTTCTTTTTATTTATTATATGAAAAAAAACCTTGCTACGTGTACTGCATTAAGCTAACTGAGACTTGTTATAGCACTTGCATATCATTGCTCTTTTGTTGATTTTGATTGCTTCCAGTGTCCTCATTTGTAAGTCGCTTTGGATAAATGCGTCTGCTAAATGTCTAAATGTAATATAGGCTAATATAATAGTAACCTGAATAAACTGGTTTTAGCATCTTTTGATGCTAACAGTGCTACTGATACTTTCTGCTCCACTCTTACATCTTGTTTAGACACTGTCTGCCCCTTGTCTTCCAGACCAGCCCGTACCACCCCTTCTGCCCCTTGGTTATCTTATGTTCTCCGCGAACATCGTTCTAAGCTCAGGGCTGCTGAAAGGTTGTGGCGTAAATCCAAAAATCTTACTGACCTTAATGTGTATCAGTCACTCCTCTCTTCTTTCTCTGCTAATGTCTCCACTGCTAAAAGAACATACTACCATAACAAAATTAACAGTTCGTCTAACTCTCGCAAGCTCTTTAAAACATTTTCCTCACTCGTTTGTCCTCCTCCTCCCCCTCCTGCATCAACTCTAATAGCTGACGACTTTGCCACGTTTTTCATTAATAAAATTAAAAACATCAGTGCACAATTTTCCACACCACAATCTGTCATGCACATCTTACCAGCAAACATACACTCATTCACATCCTTCTCTTCACTCTTTGAGGCAGAAGTCTCCAAACTCATCCTTTCTAATCATCCTACTACTTGTCCGCTTGATCCTATTCCATCTCATCTCCTTCAAGCCATTTCTCCTGTAGTTGTACCTGCACTCACTCACATCATTAACACCTTCACACTGGTGTTTTTCCCTCAGCATTTAGACAGGCTCATATAATCCCACTTCTTAAGAAACCCACCCTTAACTCATCTCTTTTAGAGAACTACAGACCGGTTTCCCTTCTTCCTTTCATTGCAAAAACACTTGAACGAGCTGTGTTCAACCAAGTCTCTGCCTTTCTCACACAGAACAACCTCCTTGACAGCAACCAGTCTGGTTTCAGAAGTGGACATTCAACCGAGACTGCCTTGCTCTCAGTTGTTGAAGCCCTAAGACTGGCAAGAGCGGATTCTAAATCTTCTGTACTTATTTTGCTGGATCTGTCTGCTGATTTTGACACGGTTAACCACCAGATTCTCCTGTCAACCCTATTGGCAAAGGACATCTCACGAACCGCACTCCAGTGGTTTGAGTCTTACTTATCAGATAGGTCCTTCAAAGTATCTTGGAGAGGTGAGGTGTCCAAGACATTTATTGCCGGATGAAGGACCATCACCTTCAACTCAACCTTGCCAAGACAGAACTGCTTGTGGTTCCAGCAAACCCATTGTTTCATCACAATTTCACCATCCAGTTAGGCACATCAACCATAACTCCTTCAAAAACAGCCAGAAACCTTGGAGTTATGATTGATGATCGGCTTACTTTCTCAGACCACATTGCTAAAACTGTCCGGTCCTGCAGATTTGCTTTATTCAACATCAAGAAGATCAGGCCCTTTCTTTCAGAACATGCTTCACAACTCCTTGTTCAAGCTCTTGTTCTGTCCAGGCTGGACTATTGCAATGCTCTCTTGACTTATTGACCTCAGATATAGCAATGTTGTTTGTATAGCTTACCTGAGTATGCGGGTGGGGTCTTGATAAATTTATAGTGTTTAAGTTTTGATAATTTTTAATTTATAAAATGCTTGTCAGCAGTGCTTAATTTGTAAATTGCGAGGTCCTCGAATAAAGCGGGGTGACGGATCTGGCATGCGATTAGAGGAGGGAGAGGCAACGGAGCATTCACGCAATCACTTTGGTGGACCAACTTAAGTGAATAACAGCTTGCATTAGTAGCTTTTATAGTTTACATGCACTTAAAAAAAAAATCATGGGTTATTTCATTTCAACCCAATTTTTTGTGTGTAAACCAGCTCCTGGGACTGGACAGTCGCAACAACAGAGGGGTCATAATGAGCTCTGATATTTTGCAACCTCTTCAGGTAAAGAGTAGTTCTCCTTGTCGCCGACTTGCATTTCTTTGGTCAAGTATATTATTTAATCTATAAAACCGTTTCATTGCTGTAAATCATTTTATTTTATGCAAAGCAAACTACAGGGACATGATGTCAGTCACCTAAATGAGTCGCATCGGTCTTTTCGTAGAAATTACTTTTTTTTTTACTTCTAAAATGCTTGTGTGACGAGTGGGGACGGGGCCGAGAGCCGTGGGAACGGAGCGAGGCTGGTGGAGTAATTGATAATGAGCGACACCTGCACCACTCACCGGTCTTGAGTCTCACGGAGGAGCACCGGAAGGATAAAAGGAGGAGTGACGACAGTGAAAGGAGAAAGTCCAGGCCTGGTCCCGCCCCCACTCGTCACAGCTTGTTAAACGAGTTTAAATATAATAATTTTTGTATACATGTTTAAACGGTAAAATATTTTGTATTGAGAATTGTACTGTAGGCTATTTAACAAAAATAAAGGCAATTATCCACAATTTGCAATTATTATCCATAATTTAGGATTAGCCCAACATGTGTTTCATCCTATTTTTCTTTTGTTTGTTTTTTTCAACCCAGTAGAACAAACAAAAAACACAATTAACAATGTATTTAACACTGCAGTGACACAGAAAATTAAGATAATGTCATTCTTACCATTCTAGTTGTTTAAAATGGACAATAAAACAGGCATCAATTTCCCCTAGGTCTTTCTAGATCGTGCTTTGCTTCTGGAGTCATTTGCAGTCCTGTGTCCCTTTGAAATCCATGACCTCACGTATGGAAAGGGGTTAAACTGAGATAATGGTGGTCCAACAAGGCAGAGAAATAAAAGCAATGAAATTGTGGAGGCGTGGAGAGATGATCGGTTGGCACTGCAAATTAAGTTCATTTGAGAAAAACTCCTCTCACACTCTGCACTTGAAATCGGAACCGTGGTAACAGCAGTCAAAAGGTCTTTTAATCCTGCTGGGATGAGCCAGTGTTGTGCCCATTTTCAACCCAAATTATTACCCCCTCGTTGAAATCGCTACCTGATTGCCTAATCCTAACCCCTTCCCCACATCTAACCCTAAACCTACCAATACTAGGGGGGTAATAATCTGGTGGGGGTCAGAACTGGGCACAACACCGGCCGCCGTTCTCTCGATATTCCCTGGCAGTTCGAAGGCCGTCGATGCCAAACTTTTGACAAAGAGACAGTTTCAGTCAGTTTCTTTATCACCATACGTTGCTCCGGCGTCCTGAGGCCAGTATTCAGGAAAAAGCACTTTTAACTCTTCGATGAATTTGTTGTACCCCGTCCGGTCCCCTTCTGCCCTTCTGTACGATAGCATGCAATTCTCTAGGCTTCTCATCAGACTCCTAAAAAACACCTTGTGGTCCATTCCTTTTTCTTCTCTTCGTCCTGGATACAGAGGAACACCTTGGAAGATGCTGTCATTTACAGCATTTTGACTGATTTGGCTATGACGTCCAAGTCTCTCAGACATTTCCTCAAACACCCTTGCCTTGCGACAAATAGCTCTATGAGGTGCTATAACTGTACAGTCCAAGCTCCAAGTACAGCTCAGACAATTCTTGAAGTGCATCGTACATGAGGCCGAGATTTTGGACGAAACTGTATGAGGACAAACGCTTAGCTAGACCACTGTAGCTAGCACGGGTAACGGTGTCACGGGAGGAATCTTCTGCTGCCTGACTGAAATGATTGTAGAGGGCAGGATAATGTTTCCATGCAGCTTCGACAGATCTAAAACTCGCCGCAATCCATCTGTTGTCCAAGACCCGGACAATTCTGCACAAATGAATGTCTAATTCATCAGCACATTTTTTAAGCTCCATTCTGTTTTTGTTTGATGTGCTGTACAATGTGTATAGTTTATCCATGAAAATCCTAAAGTGATTTATTTCCCCTAATTCTTTCATGAAACATCTGAGCAGTGCCACACCATCATATTTAGGAAAAGTGATTTAAGTCTGGCTGCCACTCCAGACTTGCGGCCAAGCATAACTGATGCTCCATCGCACGAGAGACCTATTAGGGTTTTAGACAGAAAAACACCCTCCAAAGCACGTAACAGTTTATCGACAATTCCTTGGGCACTTTGGTCTTCTAGTTCAACAAGTTCAACAAAAATATTCTCAGGCGACTCCATGTCGGGCAGCTGAAATCTGACGTAAATGATTAAAGCACTCTTTCTGCTTAAGCTAGTTGCTTCATCAAGCATCAGACCAAGCAACAATCTTTTCGAATTATTTCTTTTTCATGTCAAGTGAAATATGGCTCTGTATGTTTGCACACGCCACATTAGAGTGCAGAATTCGTCCCACGTCGAGACCATTTAACTCCTGGCAATCAGTTTCACTCTCAAAGCCGTACGCCGGTCTGTGGCGCTTCGCTTCTTTGTAAGCTGTACGAAAAATTCTTGCAGTAGTTTTCACTAAGTCAAATAATGAGAAAGAACCAGATCGCCTATCACAGCTATGCAGATGATACCCAGATTTACCTAGCCTTATCTCCAAATGACTACAGCCCCATTGACTCCCTCTGCCAATGCATTGATGAAATTAACAGTTGGATGTGCGAGAACTTTCTTCAGTTCAAAGTTTTTAAATTCCTTGTTTTATTGTTGTGATTATTGTCTTTATTTTCTTTTATGTAAAGCACTTTGAATTACCATTGTGTATGAAATGTGCTATACAAATAAACTTGCCTTGCCTTGCCTTCATCGGACAGGTTATTTATTATTGTTTTTTGTAATGAGTCTTCTTTTGCTTTTTCGAGAATGCTAAGTGCTGCAACGTGTGCCTTCGTCTGAGAGTGTTCAAAAACCTTTTTCCTAAATGCCTTCTATTGTTGTTTTTTAAGATCTTTGGCTGATGACGTTACAGAGCATGTCACCCACTCTTTGGCCAGTTTCATCCCCGCCGATTTTTCGGGACCCAGGCTTCCAACCTTTTTGCAAAAGGTGCAGCCCAGATGCGACCCCTCCATAACAAGCCTAGGATATAATGTCTTTTTTTGTTTTAAACTCTGCTTCAGTCCATATTGCCCCCGTTTTTTGGCTTTCTCCATCTTCGTTGCTTGTTTTCTCATCTCCACATGCTTCTTCCCCCGGCTCGCCAGAACTCTCCGCAGTTGTCGACTTGCTCTGTTCATCGCAGGTTGTTTCGTCTTCCTTTGTGTTAACATCATCAGCCGGTGAACTTGAACCTTTGCTAGCGGTATCTATAATAATTCTGGCCTGTTTGGTTTGAGACGCTAGGCCTGTCTAAAATAATCTCGTAAATTAAGCTGTTTTTTCGCCATTGTTCCACATTTCCAATTAAGCACTGAAGCCTCCCCTCCCCCTCACACACAGACACGTGCAAATCAGCATCCTCCAATCACAGAAGTTTATTACCGTGGAAATAAAACCTCCAAATCCTGACATGGATAATACTCACATCTTTTCTTTTTTTTTTTACATTTATTATCATTTTATATTTTAAAGAGGATAACGTTATTGACATTATCATTATTATATGTGCTTTTTCATTAAATATATGCACGCTACAGGTCAGCAAATGTTTTTAATTGAAGTGTGAGGAGGGGGATTCGCCAAAATAAGGTGCTGGATCCGGCGTGTTCCGGCACAAATTAAGCCCTGCTTGTCAGTGTGTGTGTGTGTGTGTGTGTGTGTGTGTGTGTGTGTGTGTGTGTGTGTGCATGTGAGAGATATTGTAAACACTTAAGCTGTGGCTCTGATCAGTTTGGATTGGCTCTGAAAAAGTAAAGCTACATTTACATTGTCCAATCAAAACAAAAACCCAACGTTCCTGCAATATCTAAAGTATTCAGTGCAAAATTAAATGACGTGAATGTCACCAATGTCAAATGTAAATTCTGAGTATACGTTCAATATTGTAAATTATACTTTATGTAAATGTATAACATACTTGCCCTTCAGACATGTATACAGTGTTGCCATTTGCTGTGTACTTTAAAACGTACTGCTTTTCTTGACAAAATGTTCTTAATGAACATCTTTCTCCGATGACCTCTCTGATGGGGCTCTGGATTGATTTGTGTTGATGTGCCGATGAAAAAAAAATGCATGAAAACCTGTATAATAGTAATTCATATATATGAAAAAGTGGTTCAGTATTATAGATTGTGACTTTACTATAACAATTTTACTTAGGAATATCAAGAATACTTGATATGTAGATATATACAACTATTTGAAAATCTGGAATCTGAGGGTGCAAAAAAATCTAAATATTGAGAAAATCATCTTTAAAGTTGTTCAAATGAAGTTCTTAGCAATGCATATTACTAATCAAACATTAAGTTTTGATATATTTACGGTAGGAAATTGACAAAATATCTTCATGGAACATGATCTTAATATCCTAATGATTTTTGGCATAAAAGAGAAATGTATAATTGTGACCCATACAATGTATTGTTGGCTATTGCTACAAATATCCCCCAGCGACTTAACACTGCTTTTGTGCTGCAGAGACACATATAACTTAAGACTATTATGTGTTAGTTGTATGCTGTTGATATGCACATTGATATTTGAACAAAATCCACCAGAGGCTGTTACAGAAATTTCTTATCTTTAGATTTGAAAAAATATACAACATTCAAAAAAAAAAGTAAAAAAAAAAGTTAAACGTTTATGGTATCTAAAGGGAATAGGATACTGATTTAGGATGTTTCCACTGGTCCAGAAATAAAAACACAAATCGTTCCATTCTTTAATGTACAGGAAAGTACTATTTTTTTTATTCCTTCATATTCAAACTTCACAAACAGAGTGAACTTACAATACCTCAGAGAGTGAAAATTACAAAAAAAGGTGCTGGTAACATTTACAAAAAAATCATCCTTACTTTGCAACAATCAGTTATTCTTCCACTCTTTTTTTTTTTTTTTTTTAGTCTTTTGCATTAAGGCTTAATACTTCTGTATAAAGTATATGCAAGTCTTCACAGTTTTTCGAAAAAAGTCACAATATTATGTAACATAATGAAGCTTTTACGGCTATTTTCTGTTTAATAACAAATACACATCACTGGTAAATATACGTGAAAATACAGGGCTTACTGTAAGATGGCAAGTAATGATACTGTTTGCTGATTTTTTTTTTTCCTAAACACATTTGTAAGAAAGGTTACATGAGATACCACTGAAATAACTGAAGCAGAAGGAAAAGAAAAAAAAGTCATAATAAACATACAAACAAGGGAGATCGCCTCCAAACTTTGGCACATCCCTTTAAATATTTTCACAAAATATATAAGGTTTTATTTTTCTTTCAAATCATATGCATGGAAGAATAGCAAAACTGGCATAAAGTGAAATCATGCTGTGTAGTAAGGTGCTAAATTAGAGATATTACAAGGCCTGTCCGTTCCAGACAGGTGAGAATAAGGTGCATTTGTAAGACTGAAAAGCATGTAGGCCTTTTTTTAGGTTTTAATGAACAAAACAGAAATAAATTACAAATGCAACACAAACTTACTTAGTTAAAAACAGCACAAAAGAACCAATAATAACATGACCAATAGTCTTGAGGCGACCTCGTGAACTCATGCACTCCCACTGATTCAGAGAAATGTGTGACAGTCTTTATGTTAAATACTCTTAATATCGTATGGTATGCAATATTATATTTCTTTGTATGCACGTTTGGTGTCTCTTTTCAAAATGGAATATGTCACTGCAAGACACGATGACGTGGTTGGATGGTCTGATCGAAATGAAACAGAACGAAGTAGAGATATTATTCCGGGGATTTGCTAAGCTGCACTAGTTTAGAAGTAAAAAGACACAAGCTCTATCCCTAGAACTCACCCTCATGCATACTGCTAAAGTGACGCAACAAGCTTGCTCAAATAACCAACATCACAAAAGCAACTTGGTTTTAGTGCAAACACAACTGGCTGGCTTCAGCTTCTTAATAAAAACAAGCTCACCAAGAAGATTACATGAAGGCACATACTTATGCTTCCTCTAACACTCAACATATTGAGACGAACTGCAACACCTTTCAACAACACCACGAAGCAGTTTTAACAGGAAAGCCACTATTTCCAGAAACCAAAAACCATCACTATACGTATAATTGCTAGAAGTTATTACTGATCACCTATAGGTAGGCATAGGAAACCTGTGACGTTCCAGTTTCAATCACGCTTTCTTCCTTTATGGATAATGACTTTAAGTAGATTTTGTGTGTGGATTTCACGGCTTGAAACCAACATCCCTCTTTGAAATCAAGTCCCAGAAACAACTGACAAAGTGTTTGTAAGAGATCAGCAACAACTCATTTAATAATAACAAGAAGCAGTAAGTATACAGTATGTTTGCACTCAACTGAAGGTCTCCGACTCGCGCATCTCTCCCTAGAGTCAAGCAAGTTGGCCTACATGGATATTCCCCTATAAATATTTCATTAGTGTTGAAACACCACAACAACAAAAAAAGTGTCTTCATGTTTCTGGGACAGCCTTCTTCTTTTTCTCAGTGCTTGTAAAAATTGTTCAGAACAATCACAAGAGGGAAGCATGTCATTTAATGTACCTAAAACTCGGACATGTTATATGTGTTTTCTTTAACAGTATTTCTACCCAACTTTACAGCCTCAGCATCACTTCTCTATTGATGCATCCGTATAAACAAATAACGTCTTAAACAAAATAGCATCTTTGAAGAGCACAGAAAGCCTTTGCTGTTACACGTGGTTGGTTCGTGTTTATGTTAAGTGTTCTATTGCTATTTATCGAAGAAGACCAAGAATAATTTTAGTGCAAAATTCTTTTCTGGTTTGATAAGTGGTATGCAATGAGGATTGCTACAGGGATCAACTGTGGGGCTATGCCTAGTGGTTTCTGTCTGCTTTTGACATGTTATCATGCAATAACTTTGCAGAGGGGTTTTCTTTACAATTCTTACATTTTCCTAGATTTTGTGGAATAATTGTGGAACGTTTAGGGTGATTAAAACTAGTGTCTTCCCTGCAAAAATTGCGTCAGTGTAAATTTGGAGACAGTTGAGTGTAGACAACCCTGTGTAGCTGAACAAACTTGGCTTGACTGATGTCTCACAAATTTGTAAAAATGATTGTAGTCCAGTGTCTGACATATAAAAATAAATGATAAAATGGCCTCTAAAAAAAACCTTATTCTATATCTCTAAACAGCAGGTATTATAAAGCAAACAAACTTTTCACAACGATAATAGAAATTGGACAAAGTAACTTTAAACACAAATTAAAATGACAAATGCAGATTTTAATTTTTAAGGTTGCTTGAATACTGTACGATGTTTAATACCTTAACTACAACAGCTCCACATCCACTCAGTTCGAATGCTTCAATATGAAAAAAAAGACAACGAAATTTGTGAAAATAAGTTATGTGCTAGTGCAAGAATAAAACAAGGCTTAAGATATGGCTTTAAATAGTGAAAAATACCAAATCTTTTCAGCTAGGTTTCTATGTAGTCACCTAAACATTTTTATAGCACAAAAATAGGGATACAATTGAATCGACAGAGCTAAAAACGTTAGTAGAAATAAGCTAGTAAAGTATCCCATGGCATTTTACTACATTGTCTATTTGTCAAGGGGTAAAATTCTACTATGTTTCCATCCAAATATTCACATGACACTTTACGTTTTTACACTGATTATAGGATATCACAATATGTTACAAAGAAAAACGGGAATTTGGTCCTTAAAGATACAATGGTGGTACTAATCTCTCATGTACTTCTATGTTGATTTATGCAAAAAGAATCCATTACTCATTTTATTTAATATTTCATTTGATGTTGGAGAAATCACTGCTGGAAAATCTGCTCTATAAATGGTAAATGAAACGGTTACGTGCAAACACAAGGAATAAAACGCTTGGTCCATGCTGACAAATAACATGTGGATCTAAACATCCATTGCAAGAAGCAGAGCAGCCGAAATAATGAAGAAAGACAAATATGAGGAAAAACAACACAGCAGATTATCTTGCATCAGTGCAATTAATTTCATGTTTGATGTTACTGAATGTCATGAAAGAATTAGCTTTTACAAATCGTCTTTTCCCGCCCATCGACAGAGTTATCATAGCACATAAAGAAAAATGATGCACGTCTTTCAAAAGTATGAT